GTGCTTTATCCAGCCTGGAATTTTTCTCATGCTGTAACTCTGCATGTTAGTTAAATAAGTAGGTTGACAATATATAGCCTTGATGTACTCCTTTCAGTTAACAAATTGGACCCTTAATGGTGAGCTTGTAGGTTGTTTTTAGCTTATTGCTGCTGTACACAGTACTGTAATGAATATTGTTATACATGAATCTAATTTGCACATATTGGAAGAGTTGTGTGTAGGTTAAATTTCAGAGTCTGTGTCTCACTCATCTGTATCTACAGCACCAGGCAGTTAGTAGGTTCTCAACATAAGTATTAAAATGCCCTGGGGCTTCCCTGAAAGCTCAGTAGTAAAGAATCTGCCAGCCAATGCAGGACACACAGGTTCAATCCCCGATTTGGAAAGATTCTACATAATGTGGAACAGCTGAGCCCGTGCGCCACAACTACTGAGCCTGCGCGCTAGAGCCTGGGAGCCGCCACTGCTGAGCCCACTTTCTGCAGTTACTGAAGCCTGTGCACCATAGCTAGGGAGTAGCCCCTGCTTGCCGCAACCAGAGAAAAGCCCACACCGCAGTGAAGACCCAGCACAGCCAAACATAAAATTATAAAATGCTCTGAATTTAGGTCTTTGAGGTCCTGCAGTGTATCATTTATCTTGGTATTTTTAGCATCCACAAGTGACCAACAGCACAAAAAATTGTTTTCTGAATGAATAATCTCCAGGATATGTAGAACTCTACCTCGAAAAGAACAAAGTGTTGAATAGTGACTTCCAACTTTTAAATGCCATGTGTTTCAGAAGCACTTCACTAAGCATCACCAGCTAGGAAGCACCTTGAGCCATTTCTAAGGAGGGCTCTGCATTCCTCCCCTTCCCCTTCCTCTGTGTGTTGAGTGTTGATGTACTTCTTTCCCTGGGCAGTAGAAAGACTGGGTAAAAATTCTTAACAGATAATTGGGTAGAGAGAGAAGTTAAAGACTCTTGCTTTCCCTTAAAAGTTACATTTTGTTCTCACCTCCAGGATGCTACTCTCAGAACCTTTAAAGCAGGGGCAGTTTCTCATTCAGCCCCACATGACTAGTGCCTAGTGTAGTTCCTCATACAAAGAGCAGGCCTTCAGTTGACATGTGGGAAGTAAATAAATCAAGCAAGTGTTGAACTATGCAGTTGGCATGATCTGAGAAATTTTCTAAATGTTTTGACCATCTTCCCAAATTTGAATTCTCCATTTTCTTCTGTTCATTGATGCCTCTTTTATTATATATCAAATTTTTTGTACAATAGGATTTATTCCTGAGTGTCGTTTTTTTAATTCGTAGATCCATCCATCTATTTTTTGGTGCCAGTCCATATAATTTTAGTGGCTTTATAATATGTTCTAGTATCTTATAAGTCTAGTTATACCTCAGAATTCTCTTTTTCAAAATAGTATTTTATACTCTTGTTTTTCTAAAATAAGTCTAAAATTCTGAAGCTATCACAGCATTGTTAATCAGCTATCAGTTCAGTTCGGTCACTCAGTTGTGTCCGACTCTTTGCAACCCCATGAACCGTAACACGCCAGGCCTTCCTGTCCATCACCAACTGCTGGAGTCTACCCAAACCCATGTGCATTGAGTCGGTGATGCCTTCCAACCATCTCATCCTCTGTCGTCCCATTCTCCTCCTGCCCTCAGTCTTTCCCAGTATCAGAGTCTTTTTCCAGTGAGTCAGCTCTTTACATCAGGTGGCCAAAGTATTGGAGTTTCAGCTTCATCATCAGTCCTTCCAATGAACAGCCAGGACTGATCTGCTTTAGGATGGATTGATTGGATCTCCTTGCAGTCCAAGGAACTCCCAAGTCTTCTCCAACACCGCAGTTCAAAAGCATCAATTCTTCTGCACTCAGCTTTCTTTATAGTCTAACTATCACATCCATACATGACTACTGGAAAAACCATAGCCTTGACTAGACAGGCCTTTGTGGACAAAGTAATATCTCTGCTTTTTAATATGCTGTCTAGGTTGGTCATAACTTTGCTTCCAAGGAGTAAGCATCTTTTAATTTCATGCCTGCAGTCACCATCTGCAGTGATTTGGAGCCAAAAAAAAATAAAATCAGCCACTGTTTCCACTGTTTCCCCATCTATTGGGACTGGATGCCATGATCTTAGTTTTCTGAATGTTGAGCTTTAAGCCAACTTTTTCACTCTCCTCTTTCACTTTCATCAAGAGGCTCTTTAGTTCTTCTTCACTTGCCATAAGGGTGGTGTCATCTGCATATCTGAGTTTATTGCTGTTTCCCCTGGCAATCTTGATTCTAGCTTGTGCTTCCTCCAGCCCAGCATTTCTCATGATGTACTCTGCATATAAGTTAAATAAGCAGGGTGACAATATACAGCCTTGACATACTCCTTTTCCAATTTGGAACCAGTCTGTTGTTCCATGTCCAGTTCTAACTATTGCTTCCTGACCTGCATACAGGTTTCTCAAGAGGCCTACTACTCAGATATAAAATAAAAAATTAATAAAATGAGTGTAAAGCTATTTGGATGTATTCCAATAAAAGCAACCTATTGAGATTTTTTATCATAGTTACATTAAAACTACAAATTAATTTTTATATTGACATCTCTGTACTAGTCTTTCTATCAAATTTTCTGTTGTGTATTTTAGTAAGAGCATATGTATTTCTTCATATGGGTTTCTCATTCTTCAACATTTACCAAACAGCCATTCTCCTGACCCCCACTTCCTGCCATTGTATTTTCTGCTGGAGATACAAAGATGAATGTGTCATAGCTCATGCCCTCAAGGAGCTCACTTTGGTGGCAAGAGAGATAACTGATCAGATAATTATGACTAATTATTATAGTTATTGTGGTGAACAGAAGTTCAAGATGCTAAGGAAGCACAGAGGAGAGTTACCAACCAAGATTGGGGGTTATTAAGCCTTCTGGATGAGAGGACTCCTGAACTAGAGGCAGAATAGAAGTTAACCAGATAAAGAAAGAAGAAAGCGTACTCTAGGCAGACAAAATGCTCTTTGGAGTGTATGTTCAAAAGTAAAGCGGTGAGAAAATTATTGAAGTGTCTTAGGAACTGCAGTAGCTGGAATATCACATGACAGTGTGCTGATAGCTGGAAACAAAACTGGGAAGGAGATGGGAGAGTGGCGGATTGTGAAGGTACTTGTGTGACGAGAGAGAAGAATTTGGGTATGGGATTGAAAGATTTAGGTGGGGGAGTGTACTGGTCAGATTAATGTTTTAGAAAACATATCCCTGAAAGAGAAAATAATGAAGTTAAATAAAGGTCACTCTGGCTGCATTGTGGTGGATGGCATTCAGGGTTCCGAACTTCAGCTGACAGGCCAGCAGGCTGCTGGAGTCATCTGGAGACGACCTGCCCTAAAGCAAGGGCCGTGGTGATGGAGGTGGCATTTAGGAGTGGTTCCAAGCTACAAAGGAGAGAGGCATGTACACAAGCAGCAAGCGTGGGCACATGTAGCCCCCTCTTGTTAATATGTTGCTAAGTGGTTTATGGTTTTCACTAGTTTAAGCATGATTTCCCCCCTATTATATTCTGTTTATGGCTAACATAAAAAAGCTATTGATTTTTTAAAAAAAAACACCTATCTTGATATTCTTACACTTCCTAATTCTAAGTACTTACTTGATTTTTTTGGCTTTTCTATGTGTTTATTTCTAAGTATTTTTGCTATGGTATTTTTTTACCTTTTCCCTCTTTTTCCATTTTTATTATGAAAATCTCAGACAGTCACAAAAAATAAAGACAATAATACAGACTCACATGGGCCTTTCACCTATATTTGATTCATTATTCACCTACTATTAAAATTTGGTCCTATTCTCTTTATCTTTCCCTTTCCCGTGTTCTTGTGCTGTTACTGAAGTATTTTAAAGCAAAATCTCAGACCTTTTGTCGTTTTAGTATGTCATACTATGTCACCTTTTGTCATACTTCAGTGTGCATCTCTAAAAAATATGTTTTCTTACATAACCACAGTGCTATTATCATACTTAACAAAATCAGCAGTAGTTCCTTGGCATAATTTAATAACCAATGTATATGCATATTCCTTGTTTATCTCAAAATGTATTTTGATTGGCTTATTCCATTCAGGATTTGGATTGCACATCACATTTGATAGTTTGAACTCAAAAACTCTTACTCTTTAACAGTCCATAACCTTACTCCCTTTTATAAAAAAATGCCATTGACAGTTGAAGAAACCAGGTCTGTTGTCATGCTAAATGCCTCACATTCTGGATTTGTCTCTTGTGCTATAATTTAACTTACTCCTCTGACTCCCGTATTTTCTATTAACTGGAGGTTAACTTTGAATGACGAGTTAGTTCGGTTATGGTTCATTTTTTCCTCAGAAAGAGAGTGCAAGACTACTTTGTAGGTAGGTCTGTGAAGTGCTGCCTCTCTCTGATAATCCCACTCAGGGACACTAAGATTGATCAGTGGAGGTGATGTCAGCTCATCCTTCCATTGTAAATTTCCCCATCAATTTTTCATTGACTGAGTTCATCCACTATTGATTGTCACCCAAATAAATTATTTCATGGCAAGCCACAAAAAATTGTTTAAATACTCTCAATTTTATCGCATTTATTAGCTGAATAAAGAACATTTTATCAATAACTGGGACTGTTTGGTTGTCCTAAAATATAACATGTACTGAAAAGACAAGATAAATGCTTAATTCATTTTCTTTTATTGCAAGTTTTGGATTAAGGAGTTGGTACCTTAGCTGTTCCATTTTAAGTATCTATTGATCATGCTTCTGTTTTATGACTTATTGTATTAGCTAACCCAGTGGTTCTTCCCTAGTGATTATCTCATTATCTCAGCCTTTGAGAAACAGGTCTTCATTTGCACAGGAGCCTCTACATCCTTAGGTATGTGAATGACTTGCTAAGTGCCACACATCAGTCTTTCCAGTCCTATACTTCTCAGAAGACAGAACAATGTTTCATTTGGTTTCTGTTTTCTTGTTCTAGATCATGCTGTGAACAAGATGCGTCAACACTCAGATTCAGAAGTGGCTTGTCTTGCCAGAGAAGTTTACACTGAGTGGAGAACTTTCATAGAAAAACATGTCAATAGACCTTCCATAGAAGTCCGAAGTGATGCCAAAACTGAATCATTTAGAAAAAATGCCCAGAAATTACTCTCAGAAGCCTTGGAATTAGAGGTAATGTCTTGGTTGGAATGTGATTATTAGATATTCTTGGTTAAATAACCGTCACATTTTCACAATGAACTTTCATACTCTTTAGGGCCATAACTTTATTCTAACTTTTTTTCTTAAAGATTCTGGATTTGTAAACATTCTGGGAGACAGTATTATATAAGGAGTGCAGGCATTAGAACTAGCAAGACATGGATTAAAACACTGGCTTTAGTATGTACTGGTTGTGACACCTTAGGCAAGTCTCTTAACATTTCAAAGACTTGATTTTTTAATCTGTAAAGTGAAGATTATAATTCCTACTACCTAAAATTTTTGGAAAGATTAAATGAACAATATATACAAAAGAATAGTATAGTGCCTGGTGGTTAGAAGTCACTTGATGAATGTTGGTTCTTTCCTATTTTTGAAATCCTTTCTGTAACAAATACCATATGATACCATCTATATATGGAACCTAAAATATGACACAAATGAACTTATTTATAAAACAGAAACACCCACAGAAATAAAAAACAGACTTACGATTACCAAAGGGGAAAGAAATTAGGAGATGGATAAACTAGGCGTTTGGGATTAGCAGATACAAACCACTATGTGTACAGAGTAGATTAACAACAAGGACCTAGTGTATAGCACCAAGAACTGTATTCAATATCCTATAATAAACAGTAATGGAAAAGAACATATATATATATATACACACACATATACATACATATACACATATATATAATTGAATCACTTTGCTGTATACCAGAAACTGGCACAACACTATAAATCAACTATACTTCAATAAAAATAAATAAATAAATAAAATTCTTTCCCACTGAAGCAAAAATTCTGAGATGGACTCTTAGGAATATCAGTAGCACAATAAATAGCTGTTTTTCTAAAAGACTCTACTACATTTTTTGTCAGCACTCTACCTTTAGTTCTAATGCTTATAATCAATTGACTAGACATCATCTCTATTATCTTTGTGACCAGCAGTTAGATGGTGTTAGTGGTTTGAGGTACAAATACCGGAAGAGAAATTTTTGTTCATTAGCAATAATATTAATCATCATCATCAAATGAATCTTACATTCAATTAGTATTCTGGGAACGTCAGACATATAACATTGATATTTTTTCCTCCTCTCAGGGTACCCCTAATAAAGTATCCTTAAAGAATGATTTAATAATATTAACAAAAAGAAGCAATTCAGAAGTCTGATTTAAATAGTAGACTAGATCTGTCACTATATTCTCTAAAAAAATATTTTAACCTTTCTATCTCAATTATGCATCCACAAAAGAAAGGCAGATGGATTTGTATATATTATTTACTTTATTTAAAAATAAAATTTTGAGTTTTTAATACAAATGTGATGGAAAAATACAGAAAGGAAAAATAAAGTCACCATTGAACCTACTATCCAGACACAATCTTATTAACATTTAGTGCATTTCCTGTTGCTAAATTATTATAGCTTTTTCAAAAAATAATGGTCAAGTTATGATTATCCAAGATTTATTAAGAGTCTGTTATGTTATGTGCCAGCTGTCCTGTAAAGTATTTTTATTGATTATTTAAATGACATTGCACAACCTTGACAATTATTTATTTTTATATTATATTTAATCTTGATCAGTATCAGTATCATCTTGTATATAGTTTTCTATTATTTTTATCTATCTCTATTTTTTGCATTTTTAACTTTTAATGTCTATTTGATGATTCAGTGAATTAATATACTGTAAGTTTGTTTAACTTTTCCTAAAGAAGCATTAATATGAACATTAAGCCCTTGGAAGAGAGAAAAAAATATGAAGATCGTAAGTCTAATTTTCCAGAGTCATTGATTAGCCAACAAGACTTGGTATTTGATATTTTAAGAGAAGTTTATTTTTCAAATAAACCAAAATTATTGCAGAAACATAGAGTGTGGATATATAATATGTAGTTAATGTAGTGGTAAATACCAGTTCCCTATGGTATCTTTTTAAGTAAATGATAATAACGAAGCTATGCTTGTAAGGATTAATGAGCAGTTTGCCTGCTATATTAAACTCCATAATAATTATCCTTTTAGTTTATCCATTAATTATCCTTTAAATGGCACATCAAGTGGTAAGCATTCAAGTGTTACAAAGCAAAGTTAAAAAAGTGATACATTTGTTAGTGCTTTCCAATATAATTGGAAAAAATATCAGATTAAGCATAGTTGAATGATTTTGCTCCCAAAGAGTAAATTTTAAAAACTAGAAGTGTTCATCTTACTGTCTTCCTTGGCCAAAGAAAGTCCATCTCTTTTCCTTGCATAAACAGCACTTTATAGTATTTTTATATATAATTTCATACATCAGAAAAGATAAATACAAACACTTTTACATAAAGTTAACTCTTAACACCCATCATCATCTGAAACATTTTCATATTAGGGTAAATCAATGAACCATCTAATCCAGTATCTGGTCTTTGACAGTAAATAATGTTGAGTGCATTCAAATCAGACATCAGATCTCCATAAATGTATTTTATCAGGCAGTAGTAAACCATTGGGTAAGTTATTGGCCCAGTGACTTAAAAGCTTTTGCAATTTGATTTTAGCATGTGTTTTTTTTTTTCAAATCTACTTATTATATTTTTATAGAAAGTAATGTTTCCATGATATTTGTTTTGGTCTAAGTAGTGAAAGCCACAGAAGAGGAATATATACACACAGCCCCAAAGTGCATCTATTACTCTACAGATCTTGCTTTCCAGATTCATGGATTGTTTCCTTGTTCTTGGAATAATGGAATAGATGAATAAAAACTCCATTGTTGAGACCCACGCTCCATTCCCCTTTACTTTCTCCCTTCTAGATCTTCTTTGTTCTTCCCTATATTTTAGATCTTTCCTCATATGAACGTCCCCTGTGGTGTCATTCTCTTACTTCCCCTTCCTCATTATCCACTCCCCTTCCTACCTCACGGCCTGTGATCATTTTCCTATTATGCCATTAAAAAAAATGAATCTGATTCTCAAAGTGAGCCTGTTATCGTTAAGAGTTATGAAGCACTGGCTGGTTGGCCCAGTTGGTTGTCAGATGGTGATAATGAGACCCAGGTCAGGCATACATCCCCATATGGGACTGTTAGTTTTTTCTTTGCTTAATGGCCTCAGACTGCACCTCTGGTTTTGACCAACTCTTTAATAAATGTATTCAAGTGGTCAAAAAGGAGTGTGGGTATATATGTACAAGTTCAATCATGCTATTGGAAAACTCATACAAAGTTTCCTTTAGTGGATATTCAATTCCCTGTGTTTAGTTCTGCTACTACTAGTGCCAGTGGAGAATGTTAACACAGATGAGCTGCAGTCCTCATCCTAAGAAAGTTTACTGTCTCCTGACTAAGAGCCCGCAGATGACTAAGTATGAGGCAAGATGAAATACGTCTGAAATAGTGGTACTAGGAAGAGGTGTAAACACACAAAGGACAGAACAGTGAAATCTGATGGGGAAATCTGGGAAAAGTCTATGCAAAAGATAGCAGTTGAACTAGCCTTAGAATGGTTGGAATTTGCTCACTAGAAAATACATATAAAATAGAAACATATTTTATCTGCTCTGTATAGGATGTTACTGACAGAGCAGAAAAGGAGGAAGGTATACCTGGGGAAAGAGGAAATTCATTTAGTAAATATTTACTGAGCGCTTAATATGTGCCAGTACCTATGCTAGGGATGGGGAATTTAGAAATGGATCCAGCATGGTATCAGCCCTGGAGGCACTCACAATCTTCTGAGGGAAATAGACAAATAAAACTTATAATACAGTGTGGGAAGTTCTGCACTTCAGGTAAACACACTAAGAAGAGTTTCTTACCTTGCTTTTAAAAAGCTTATAGTCATGGCAGACATCACTGATTGATTATGGCACCATTTCTTCTGAGTCCAAAATCCTTGACATAAGACAGCTCGGGGTGGATGTGTTTTATATCTTCTCTCAGTTTGTCCATGATTGGACAACTGAATAACATATTCATCCCACAGGTACAAATACATAAGGAAGGCATATCAGATTTTCTATCTCTGGGAAATTGACCTAGGAAACACCAAGAAACAGCAATGTAAATTTTGAAACAGAAGGAATCTTGGAGGAGTTTCAAGGAAGCAGAAGCTGTGGATAGAGAGATGTACAACAGGAGGAGAGAATAAGGCAGTTAGAACTGATAGTAAGGCAAATGAAAAGGAGCAAAAATATGTGAAAAAGAGATCAGGCAGATCATGAGAGACCCAGAGAAAGGATATGGTCCATAAATAAATCTCCCTAAGTTTCTCACAGCATTCTTGTTCCCATTCATACATGTACCCCATAGCAAAATCCCTTTTTCTCAAGGTCTTAGTAAGACTCTGGTCCTTTCACCTAAAGTTGTTATTGTTCAGCCACTAAGTCGTGTTTGACTCTTTGCAACCCCATGAACTACAGCACGCCAGGCTTCTCTGTCCTTCACTGTCTCCCTGAGTTTGCTCAAATTCACGTCCATCAAGTTGGTGATGCCATCCAACCATCTCATCCTATGTCGTCCCCTTTTTGCATTCAATCTTTCCCAGCATCAGAGTCTTTTCCATGAGTCAGCTCTTTGCATCAGGTGACCTAAGTATTGGAGCTTCAGCTTCAATGCTTCACCCAAAGGGGCTTACCTAAATTACCAGGTTAGGACCCACAGGAAAGACTCTCAGCTTGGGTAGGTTTGGAAGGTCCAAAGGCATTATAAGATAGGAATTTTTCACTTTGTGCAGTAAACACATTATACACAAGGATACATGATGAATCACTTTCCTTTATGGTTTACATTTTAACATTACAAATGTTTTTCCTCATGTCTTCATTCTAACTGGGCTTCATTTAACAAGAGGCATCCTTGAGAATTGTTAGCTGCTTGCTTCTTATTCCCATCACATCACTGGGATAACACCTGTCCTGCTGCCCCATGGTTTTCTGTGTATATGCCTTTCCTTTCTAGGTGTGACTTCTTAAGGGTAGGGTGTCAGGTCTTTTCTTTTTGGGTGTCTCAAATATCTAGATCAGACTGTGCTCAGTAGTAACTCAACAGCTATTTGTTGAATGAAGTATGAATAAGTATTCAGTTCTGTGAATTTCAAGGTACTCTCAGGTTCTTTATATATATATATATACTGTAATACAATGGAATGGCCATGATTTATTTTTGCAAAGGCACACATACCCTTCTTCCCCGAACAACCACTCCCCTCAAAACGAAGGAAAAAAACAGACTTTTTTCTTGCCTGTTATATTAAGGGAATCTCGAAACAGTCAGTGAGTAACCATCCTCACACTGGGATGAGGAACCCCACATTGGGGTGAGGAGCCTCTCTTGCAAATGTTGCTGGACAAATGCTGGGCAGACGGCCAGCCACCCTTACCACCTTGTAAAGTAGTCTGGTACCAGGGCTGCCTCAGGCTGGGGGCTAGTTCAGCGCCCACCCAGGAGTCCGTGAACGCTCAAGGAGTCTGGGTTTTAGAGAGCTGTGGCACCAAGCCAGCTCACTCCAGCACCATCCTTGGAGATGATCAGCCAGTCATCAGGACCACAAACATCCCTGAGCATCTTTCATCTGTTACAGATGAGCAGACATCTGGGCCTGGATGTCTATCTTCTCTCTCTGTCTCTCTCAGTCCTGTTCTGCGCCCCTGCTTAGTTCTCATTTTCTCCAGGTTTCTGCATTCATTTTGGTCTGTTGGTCTCTCTTTTTTGTTAGGACACTTTTAATTAAATGTCAGGTGATCCTTTTTTAATGTTGGTGCATTTTTTCCTTAAACTTGCCCTTTTTGAAGTATAAGTACAGTACATATATGTACAACTCATTGAATTTATCACCAAGCAAACGGCCACGCCACCTGGCCTGATCCTACTCATTCTCCAGGTCGCAGGTCAAGCACTCACTCCTTCCTAGGCCGGGTCCCTTTGCTGTGTCTCAGTGCCCCAGAGCTTGCTTCTGTTCCGTCTGCTAGCACTCACTACGCTTCCAGTGCCTGCTTCTGTCTGTCTCCAGCTGGCCCGTGCTCTCTGTGAAGTCAAGAGCTGTATTGACATTGCTCACTGCTCTTTTCTCAGCCCAAGCACATAGTAAGTGCTGAGGAATTATGAGTATATGGTCAGGTAGGAGGGAAAGAGTGAAGGAAAAAAAGCTAATGAGAGAAAAATTTGTTTCCTGTTTTCAAGGAATTCATTCTCAGGGAAGACAAGACCATTCTATTGTGAAAATGTCTATGCGGAGCTCAGGACATTATGGCAGCCCCGAGAAGAACTTGTAGTCCTTTAAACTAGGTTTGATTTTTTTGCTTTTTGTGTTTTAGCTACACATACAAATAGGAATGCGTTTCTTGGGAAATTGTGTCTTGCTGAAGGAGCAAGTACCTGTGCAGAGGTGTAGAAGTGTGTGAAAGCAACTGAGCATGCTCAGGCTGGGCTGGAGTCAGGACCAGGAAGGCAAAGAGAGCGATGCACCTGGAAAGGAAGGAAGTGAGGGGGTCCCTGACCAGCAGCCCAGTCTGGCCTAGATCCGGATCATGTGGACAAAGTCCCAGACCTGTCCTTCTTTATCAGGCCTGTGACTTCAGGAGGGCTTGGACCTGAGCCACACACCCCAGCATAGCCACAGATCCTGTCCTATAGGCTCTTTTCTGCTTAGCTGACCCTGCCGAGGTCTCTCCAAACTCACATGGTCTCTCAGGAGGATATGGGAGCAGTGAGTATGGTAAAAGGGAAGAAACATGAGTGTTCGAGTCAGAATCCCAACTTCTCTTAATAGTTGTAAGATCTGGAGCATTTCTTTACCTTTGAACCTGTTTCCTCATCTGTAAAAAGAGAATAGGAGTTGTTAAGTGTGAGAAGTGATTTATAAACTGCTTAACACACATTTAGGATCCAGACCCAGTATTTAAAAATACTATAAGGGGTTAAAAAGCACTTTCAAGCAAACAAACAAAAAGTATAAACTCTTATACTGATTTATTATCCTTGGTCTTTGTTTCCTGGTTGGTAAAGTACAGGGCCCAGGGCCCAGAACCCATTGCTTGGTTCAAGTCAGTTTCCTGTTATAATGGCAAATATTACCACCCGGCAGGGGTTGTGAATGAGGTCCCTGTCACAAAGCACATGGCCTTGTTCCTTAATTGCCAGGGTGGAATTAATTTGCTCTTCCTGTTTCTCTTGTGACAGGAAGTAGATGTCCTTGAATTTCAGTTGATTAATGGAGGCCTCTGAGCAAAGTGCTCCAGCCTGTCTTGCTTTTAATCTTTATGCAATGCAAGGCCCTAATTTGATAATTTTTCTGTTTTTTTAGATGGATCACCTACTGGTTGAAAATATTGAACGGGAAACGTTTCATCTCTGCTCCCGCCTCATTAATGGGCCATACCGGCGGACGGTGAGAGCCCTGGTCTTCACATTAAAGCATCGAGCTGAAATCCGGGAGCAGGTGAAGAACGGCATGCTGCCAGTCGGCACGTTTGTACAGACCCACAAAAAGTGACCTGAGGGTGGTTCCAACACTGGGCTGGGCAGAAAGGAAAATGGGCCTCTCTCTGCCATTCAAAGATTCTTTTGAGTTTGGGCGATGGTTGATGCTGGCTGTGCTAAATTTTCCCATGGTGCCATTCCTTCAGACAGAGGATGCAGAGCCCTGGAGACAGGCCTGCAGGAAATGCTTCATTAGCTGGAGTGCGCTGGGGCTGCCTAACAGGACGAGCGCTCGCTGTCACTGGGAAGCGCAGTACGGTTGCCGTCACCCAACACAGTGAAAGGGTGACGGATTTCACTGTGAGCATGCCAAGGACACCTCTAAACTTCCCCCGCGTCAGGCAGGTGAAGTTACTGCTTTATTTCACCACCCTGCAGGTAACTGAGACTCAATTACCGCGGCTGCTCACTCGGTTCCGTCCCCCCGAGTTTAGATAGCTCCAGCGCCTCTCAGAACTCCCCGTCTGTTCTCTTTGCTCTGCCCCGGGGGTGAGCCTGCCGGAGCCGCCCGCTACCCCTTCTTTCCAGGACCGACTTATCTGAACATTTCAGCTCTCCCTGGAAGACCTTCCGCGCATTGGTCTCCAGAGCCCCCCTGCTGGGGTTTCTAATGAGGAGCTGGCCTGAAGCATGCCCACTCCTTGGAGTTTATTTGAATATGCTGGCTGCCTCGGTTTAGGGCTCTGTAGAAGATACATAATGAAATTGCTCTTGAAATGAATTACTGTAAGAGGAAAAATTATATACATATGTTTTTTAAAACAAAGTACTTGTATATAGGCTTGCTTAAACAATTATGGAAATGATACTTGCTTTTTTAAAAAAATAATAAACTGGGACTTTTTTCCCCTAAAACCAAAGGTATGGCTTTTTCATTGAAAAATGTTTTGATTTGAGAAAGAGTATAGTTGGTGAAAATAAAGAATGATCAGACAGGAATTTAGGGAGATAGAATGAGACCCAAAAAAGACTTTTTAGGTTAGGGGATATTGGAGCATGTTTGTAATCTGAAAAGAAGGAGCCAGTAGAAAGGAAGAAGTTTGGGGAATTCACTGGTGGTCCAGTGGTTAGGACTCTCTGCTTCCATTGCATGGGTCCCGGATTCCCTGGTCAGGGAACCATAAGGTCCTGCAAGCCTTGGGGCTTGGGCCAAAAAAAAAGATTTAAAATCCAGAAAAGAGATAGATTAAAAAAGCAAGGACACTCTCTCTCTCTCTCATACAAACAATTTTTTTCTGATATTCTTGATAGTGAGTTGCATACATCGAAGATCTTTATCACAAATGACCAGTAAACAATAAACGATGCTGAACCTCAAAAATATTCAAGAAAATGCAAAATAAAGCAATAATACATTGCCATTTTCACCAATAAAGCTGGAAAACATTTAAAATTAAAATGCCAACTTCTGTTGAAGATGTGGAGAAATGGTCCCTTTTTACACTGATGGTTCACATCCCTCTTGGAAAATAATCTGTCAATATTTACTCATATTTAAGACATGTGTACACACTGACCCAGCAGAGAAGTTTCCTAAAGAAACACATAATCCATGCAAGGATATTGTGTGCAACTTTATTGTGGGAGGAGGAAGACTGACAGTGAGCAGTCAGTCATTGAAAAGAAGGTATGACTTCTGCATCCACTGACCTGAAGGATTGACCAAAAAATAAGTGGTGGGGGGTGGGGGGGGTGAGAATTTACAGAGAAATGTCTTTAATAAGAATTCAGTTTTATAAAAAGTAAACAAAAGAATCCTATATATGAATATATGTCTTTGTACAGGATTATATGAGCAGTGTATGAAAGGGTATGTATCAGACTATTTCCATTGGCTGCCTTGGGGAGGAGAGGGGAGCCAGAAATGGCATGAAAGGAAATAGGAGATGGGGAAGAAAAAAGTCTGTAGCAAAATGAAATATGCCAATGTAATGATGTTGAATGTATTTGTATGATTTTATATGTACTTGTGTTTATATTTTTGCTGTTATAGTGGATTAAGCTTATCAGAGATTTGTTTATTTTAGAAACTTTTTTTTCAAAACAAGGACAGAAAGAAAGGGCCTAACATTGTCTACCTTCTAAGTGCTCGATCCTTTTCCTAAGATAATTTATTAGCATTTACATTGATCTTTATACGGTTTAAAAAAGCCTGTTGAATCATCTCGTCTATTACTAGGTTTTGTTTCAGTTTTTTTAGATTTCTTCTTTTATTTGGCAGCCATTTGCTGAGCACCTATTCCATGGTGCCTTGTGGATACCTAGCAGGAGCTACAGATGAGACCCTGAGGCTTACCAAGCAGAAGTATCTTGTTCAGTTTCCCACTGCTAGTAATTCTGGGAGACTGAATAATAATTGCTCAGCACTGTGCTGGACATTTTTTAAAATACCCAATTAAAGATGAGAAAAGTAAGGCTCATAGTAATTTCATAACTTACTTAAGGTCACACAGATAGTGAATAGCAGATCTAAGACTCAAAACTCAGGGGATTTGCCTATATATAGCTTCCCTGGTTGATTTCATCCACTCTCATGGTTGCAAGCATCTTTTACATGCCGATGGCAATTCCAGTTTGTATCTTCAGCCCATCCCTGTCTCCCAAATGTCAACCCCTAGATTTCCATGATCGAATTTGAAGGGTCTTTTGAGCATCAAGTGAAAGAAGGTATTTGGACTGATGCCATGCAGGAACTGGTTAGTATTTTGGATAAGTGGCTGTGTAGAACAGAAGCTGGAGCAGGGAGACCGACCAGTAGTAGGAAGCTTCATTTATAAACAGCCAAAGGGTTCTGCTAACTTAGGAGCCCAGAGTAAGTTGAAGACAAATTGCTCTATGGCTGAAAGGCTTTGGTGGTGATAGTTGGAAAGTAAAATGATTGCAGAGATGTGCTTTGGAGATCTGGAAAGCAGGCTGTGTTATTTGTGGCTGTTTTCTCCTTGATGCATGTGCAGAATTTCCATGAACACTAATGGAGCTATTCTGAGTGTTTGCCGAAGGGAAGGAAGCTTGCTGACATCCATCCAAGCTTGCCCACCCACTAAGAAGCACCTCTGAGCTCCAGCCTCTTGAAAATGAAAGGGTCAGCTTGTGAAATGGGGTGAGAGAAGTTCTTGGGACCTCTGAGTTGCCTGTAAGTCTAGGCATGAATATGTCTTCTAAGTGTGTTCAGTTGCTAGAGAAAATTTGGGTGAGTAAATACTCTTAGAATCTGCTCCAGCGGCTTATTGATCCTTTTCTTGTGGTTGTTAAATTGGAGGTCCTGGTCTTTGGAGTAGGGAGCTTGTCTGTTCATTCATTCACTGAACAAATGTTGCCCACCTCCTCTGTTCCAGGGACTAGACTGGCACTAGGGAAACTGCAGTAATTGAGATACAGTTTCTACCCTTCAGGAATTCTTAGTCTGGTGGGGAGACAAACACATAGGAAAATAATTACAGTATAGCATATTAAGTGCTTACTGTAGATATTTATTTACAATGTGGAGAGAGTAGAGAAAGTGTTGATTAACACTATTCTAAGGGAAAGGAAGTCTTCACACAGAGTTCTTAGCAGAGGGGTCAGTATGTGTGCAAAAGCACAGATGTATAAAGTGCATGGCTTGTTTCAGTAAAGGCAAATCAAAAGGGTGGGAGAAGCTTAAGGGTCTTAGGAACGGAGCGAAATTGGGCAAAAAAGGTAGAGAGGGTCCTGGAGGCCTTGTGAAGGAGTTTGGACTTTGGCCTTCAGATCATGGGAAGGCTTGAGAAGTTTCTGAGAAAGTGAAAGACCTAATAAGATGTGTGTTTTAAAAAGACAAAGATATTCCTGTATAAACAGGTACATAAGAAAAAAATTTAATGATTAAAAAAACAACAACAACAATTTAAGGCAAAGGAAAGAAACACTAGAGATTCAGTAAATTAGAGATTTCTTTTTTTTTTTTTTGACCAATGAAGTTTAGAGTTGATGATACTCCCTAATGATATCTGAGTCCCAAGTTTGAAAAATGGCAGGAAGCTCAGATAATTCATTTACTGTGTTCAGTGGTGAAGGAACAGGCAGCTGGCCTTTTTTCATTTATAGAATATCAGGGTTTTAAACTTGTGCCTGTCAGCTTTGGTTTTCTTTTTCTACAGCCTCAGGCCTCAGAGCCTCACTCTGAGAGTTGTAATGTGTTTTGGATGCGTTTATCACAGCCAGATGGGCTGAGGGCTCAGTTTGTTACTGCCCATTATTGCTATCAAAGGGAGTCCATCCAGAAAACAAGGCTTTGGAGCTTCGATTAGTTTGGTGACGCTGCCTTGGTTTCAGATGAGAGATGATTTGATTGGATGACTTTGTATTTTCTTTTTAAATCAACCAAAATGATACAATTGTTGTCAGGAATAGGCTTACCCATAAGTTAAGGAGGTTGGTTTCAAGATCCCAGATGACCAGGATGTCCAATCACATGCTAATTTTTCATCTTGTTAAAATCTTTGATTTAGGGAATTTCCTGACTGTCCGGTGGTTAGGACTCAATACTTCCACTGCTCAAGGCTTGGGTTTTATCCCTGGTTGGGGAACTAAGATCCTACAAGTCGAGCAGCATGGCCTGCCCAAAAAGAAAAAAACCTTTGATTCAGTGCATATTTATTGAGTTCTCATGTGCCAAGTCTGAGAATCACAGGGATAACTAAGATATAGCAACCATTTTTAAAAAAGCAAACAATTATGAATTACAGGAATTCAAAGAAGAGGAACTAAGCCAATAAACATATTAGAAAATGCTCCACCTAACTGGTCATCAGGGAATGGCAAAGATTAATGCCATCCTTAAAGACCTAAACTTTGCAGGAATAGTGTTCTCTTTATCTCTCTGTTTAATTCACTGGTCTGTCCCCTACAAAAATCAGATGTACCTTGGAAGGTGACAGTGAACCACAGCAAGATCAGCCAAGTGGTAGTTCTAATGGCGGATGTGGTGTCTTTCCTGGAGTACATTAATCTGTTCTCCAGTACATAGTATGTAGCCACTGATGTGAATGTTTTTCTTTTCTTTCCATATCAGAAAGAAAGATCAGACGCCATATTCACTTGGAACAGACAGAAGTATACATTTACAGCCTTGCTGCAGGGCTGTTAACGCTCATGCTGTCTTATAATCTAGTCTTGAAAAACCTGTACCAGCTAGGTATCTTGCAGAACATCACACATATCTATTGTACTAAACCCGTCAGCTAATTGAAATAGATGAGCAAGAAACAGCAAGTATACTGGAAACCTTAGTGAGACACACACATTGCAGAGAGTGGGAGAAAGCACTACCAAGACTCAGAAGCCTGATGTTGTTGCTAAGTTGTGTCCGACTCTGTGACACCCATGGTCTGCAGCACACCAGGCTTCTCTGTCCAACATCTCCTGGTGCTTGCTCAAATTCATGTCTATTGAGTTGGTGATCCTATCTAACCATCTCGTCCTTTGCTGCCCTCTTCTCTTTTTGCCCTCAGTCTTTCCCAGCATCAGGATCTTTTCCGATGAATCAGCTCTTCATATCAGGTGGCCAAAGTATTGGAGGTTCAGTTTCAGCATGAGTCCTTCCAATGAATATTCAGGGTTGATTTCCTTTAGGATTGACTCGTTTGATCTCCTTGCTGTCCAAGGGACTCTCAAGAGTCTTCTTCAGAACCACAGTTTGAAAGCATCAGTTCTTCAGTGCTCAATGGTCCAACTCTCGCATCCATACATGACTACTGGGAAAATCATAGCTTTGACTAGATGGACCTTTGTTGGCAAAATGATGTCTCTGCTTTTTGGTATGCTGTCTAGATTTGTCATAGCTTTTCTTCCAAGGAGCAAGCATCTTTTAATTTTGTGGCTGCATCCACCATCCACAGTG